GGAAACAAGAAACGGGTCGGGTTCGGGAGAAGAGGGTGGTAATGGGAATACTATAACTTTGTCGGGTTTGTTGAATTTCACAGATGGGCTTTGGTCTTGTTGTGGAAGTGAGAGGATCTTTGTGTTTACGACGAATCATATAGAGAAGCTTGATCCTGCATTGCTTAGAAGTGGGAGAATGGATATGCATATTTACATGAGTTTTTGTAATTTCCCATCGTTGAAGATTTTGTTGAAGAATTATTTGGGGTATGAGGAGGAGGATATAAACGACGACGTTTTAAAGGAGATGGAGAGAGTGGTGGAGAAGGCTGAGATGACGCCTGCTGATGTAAGCGAGGCTTTGATTAAGAATAGGAGGGATAAAGAGAAGGCGATTAGGGAGTTGTTGGAGGATTTGAAAAGTAGAGGGGAGAGAAATGTGAAAGATGGGAAATTGAGGGGTGGAAGTGGGATTTTGACTGAGTTGGAAGTTGTGGAGGAACAAGAGAAGAGGGCTATAGATAGTCAAAATGAAGATGAGGATCATGATGAAGAAGAAATTGAGCTTGAGGATAACATATGTAAGACAAGAGAAGATTAAAATGTGTTTTTGTTGTTGTAGTTTATCTAAAGCTTTATAATGTAGAACATAATGGTCAAAAGTTGTGATCTTTCTTCTTCTTTTGGTTGTTACAAGTAGATAAAACTATGGAAGTCAGAAAGTGAAAGAAGAAAAATTTGTTAGAATGAGAAAAGTTTTGAAGTATAGAGAAGAGATAGACTAACAAAAAAAAAAGGTTAAAAAGGAGTTTCAAAAGGCAAATGGTTGATGAAGATTTTGTATGTGGGGAATAGGAAATGCAAAAAGTGGATCTCATTGGGCACCATTGAGCACTATGTATAAAATAAAATTGGACCAAATATTTGTCAAACTATAACAATGCGTTAGTCAATAGCATTTGAACATTTCAATAATAGTATTTTTTTCCCGTTTGGATATTATTTAAAGTATCAATTGATCGTTTTGTACCCGTTATTTTACTACGTACAATCGAACACGGTTCGGTATATTTTTTTTTAACTCAACTTCAACTTTTCATTATCCAAAAAAGCGATTAGTTTATCTACTTCAACATAAATTTAATCCAATTTGGATTTATAGAATACAGCTTAAGATCATAATTCTAAAAGAAAAATAAGAAAAATTCCGTTAATTCTATCGGCCGATCTATTCTCTTCTTGGTTCGGTATTGAGGTTTGGGTTGGATAATGATATGTTTATTACAAGGTTTGGAAGCAATGAAAACTTTTAATAATTTTAATACAAAAGTTATCCAGTTTTAAGAGTTTAATAACCCAAACACCTAATCTCAATTACTAAAATACAAAAAATACAGTGGCTATTATTGTTTTTTCATATACAACAAAACGGATAAAAGTATGCATTGTTTATTGAAGACACATGATTCTCGAATCAAGACTACATTGAATACTTAATTGTTTTCATACATCTTTCTCCTACTAACCTTCGTGTATAGCATGTACTCGCCATTTATTTAATATAGTGATTGTTATAATAGGTGTAAAACCAAACAAATAATTGGTCAGTTTTGTGTAGTGATTAATAGAGCTGTCATATATTAGGTATGTGGTTTAGAATCATCCCATGCATTATAATATTGTTATGAATACGTTCTTATATGTCAATGAACACTCAAATTATATGTTTTATTAATCAAATGTGAAGTGTTAAAGACTTAAAGTTGACGATCTGGTAGGCCAAGTTGATCAAAATCTCTTTTTTTTTTCATCATCTTTTTAGAGGTTTGTGTTTAGGATCCCACAGCTTCTGCTTACTTTTTGAGTTCTTTAAAAAGAAATTATGTTATTAGTCAACTACTTTATTATAATAAACCTGGCCACTAGACATGTCACTCTAGAAATAAGAGACGAATATGTAAATTATTATTGATGATATTTTAAATTTTGTAAACCGTAATTAGGAACGGATTTGTACTTGGTGCTTATACCTACATGACATTATCATTTTAAATAAAGATATGTCATAGTGGATAATTTACCTAAGAATGACATGTTCTATGGATTTAATTCAGCTGGTATGGTGTGAGATTAGCATTTTTTAATTGTTAATATAATACTCAACTGAAATTTTATAATGCATCATATAAGTGACAGCAGAAAGATCTATCTGACTAGATGTTAAGAATTATATTGAATCAATCCCACTTTCTAAAATAAACATTATGTATAGTAAAATAAATCTACCCAAAATGAGTATAATTTATTTAGAGAGAAAAAAAAGATACGTATCTTTAATGAGGTTAAGGCCCATCAAGCCTTATTCAAGGGAGATCATACTAAAACCATAATTGTTATTGTTAATGTCACTCAACAAAATTGGCCATTGCATGCACAGTTTGTACATCTATACTTTTTACTTTTTAGCATATAGTTCATAGCTTACGTTTCTTATGTTACAATGTAATATGATATTTAGAGATCAACAATTTCAAATTGTTTGTGATTATCTTTACAAAATAATAGTCTTTGTACTTCAACAACCACCACAATTATTTTGATACTTTTATCACAACAATTAGGAGAATCTTCCACTTTACCATTTGCAAAGTATATTTGATAAACTTAAATATTCCTTATTTCAATAATAAAAAAATGTGAAAGAAAATCGAGTAAAACAGATATCATAACAATGAAGAGATGTCAAGATACACAAGTACACAAAACCTTACATGACACAAAACAAAAATAGAATTAACTCTCAACAAAGGCCAAACTCGAAAACATTAGAGAAATTTATAAACAATGTAAATCTTTTAGAGAGAAACTTAATCAATTGCACATATAGACTCCGGTTTCGTACCTGTGATCTACCTCATAGAAATCTGTATTTCCCTCAGCAGCTGCACGTAGACTGATACCAGACAAAGAAGTATTTCCCTGAACCGAGAATTTCACATAGCAGATGATTTCTGGTTCTTCCTCGCTGTTATCTGAATCGATAGGCATCCGTGCTCTTAGTCTCCCGGGACTTCCTTTCAGAGGAATCTCCGGAATTTGCCATTTCAGTTCTCGATCGGTTCTGTTTAGTATTGCTTTAGGCGAAACCTTGAGCAATGTGGGATCAACCGGGAGTTTCAGGATAAAGTCGACGTTTTTCAGAGGCTGAGGTAGATCCGGATTTGAGACGTATTGTATCATAAGTGAGAGTAAAGTCCCGCTGGTTCGTTTCACCATTCGGACTCTAAGAGGCAATGGGGTTAGTTTAGGTTGCAAGCTATATTTAAGGATAGGTATTGGTTCTTCTGATGGAGCAGTTCTCACGTGAAACAAACCGTTCCCTAAGCTACTGATCCGAGAACTCTGCATAGCGAATCTCTTAACTGCAGTAGTACCCTCAACACGGAATGAGAACTCGGTTTCTTTCTCTTCACCAGAGCCTTTGGGTGGCATCGTTTTCAGATAGATCACACCCATTACTCCTACTCTAGCAAGCAAGGATTCTCTAAACTCGGTTCTAATTTCCTCAGAGATATACATTTCAGGACCTTTCATCTCAGGCTTTTTAACTAAGTTATCGAGATTACCTCCATCTTTGCCTTCCACAGCCTTAGGATCACTGGTGTGCAACAGCTCAAGCCCACCGAGTCCTTCCTTCTTTTGAATCTTCTTTGGTCCCATAAACTCTGAAGGATCCAACCCACCTCCCCAAGCATCACTAAACGATTCAAAAGTTTCTCCAATCGTAGCCTGTTCATTGCTGAACTCAATCCCACCGTATTGCCCTTCGAATCCTTCCACATTGATGTGCGTAGACTGTGTTGCTTCGGCTGGAGGCAATGTTGTCACTTCGAGTCCAGCCAATGCCAAAGTCAAGTCCGTTGAGGACGGATCCTTAGTCTTCTTAAATCCACCCACAAGTTCTTTCTCCTTGTTAATCGTTTCACTAGCTGCAAAAGGATCCTTATTCTCCGGCTCTGGTTCTTCCTTCAACTGCTCTGATTCAGGCACCACTGGAGCCAAGCTCGCCGCGAATTCATCTCCAGCGGAGATAGTCTCCAGAGGCAATTCAAATCTTGCATTTGAGAATGCGTGCACAGAAGCTTGATGCTCTGCCGCGTGCGATTCCACAGCCATCCAACTATCCGCTCCTCGGATCTTATTCTCAGTATCAAGAGCCGAATGAACCATCTTCGCAATCCCATCCCCGTGCATAGCACCAAGCATGGCCGCAAGACGGATATTACTAACACCACGCAAAACAATATCAAGCGCCATATAAACCTCGGCATACTTCCGTCCAAGCTTCTCCGGAGTCACTTCAACTCCACGACAAGCAGTAACAATAACACTAACAGCTTGATTCACAATATGAATACACTCAAACACATTAATCGAATTATCATGATCCGCGACAGTAACACCAAGGATATAGATCGAGTTCACTAATCTATAAACCACACGATACTTGCTCTCAACACCAACAATAACCTGTCCATTAGAAGCAGCAAGTGGATCATCACCTACGAATTCCGCCGCCGTGGCGTCGTCGGGATCCGCAACGGAGGAAGAAGAAGAAGCTTGATTCTGTTTCTGATTCGATTGTTGCTGATGCTGTTGCTTCGAGGAAGCTAATGCTTGACGCATTTGACGAAAATACGAGAGAGCGATTAGGGCTCTTGCTGGTGGAAACCATTCTCTAGTTTGGAGCAAAATGTCGGATCCATTTGCTGGTTGCAGAGCTAGGGCTAAACACGACATGATCGCGATTCGAAATTGATCTCGAAGCTTCTACTAATTGCGAATATTCAATCTCAATGATTCAGAGCAGCATCATCTGATGTAGAAATTGATCAGATCTGAGAAGAATCGTCGGAGAAGACAAAGGGAAAGAGAAATGAGATCTTCGTTGATGTGAAGCAGTGATTCACAAACGACGCCGTTTTTTACATTACTCGTGTATTACCTTAATGGGCCTAATGTCATGGTTTTAAAATAAGCCCAATAGTAGGCTAAACAGTAAACACTATTAGGTCTTTTTGAATTTTGTAGCGCAATTTAATTGATAGCTTTTGGCGGTGAAATGCAAAATGGGAAAATGAAGCCGGAAAATCTCTCCCGTCGATCGGCGACGAGTCGCAAACTAACCACCGGCTGTGAAATCCTCGACGGATGTATTCGCGGCGGAATTTCCTGCGATTCTTTAACTGAAATCGTGGCGGAGAGTGGCTGTGGGAAGACACAGCTCTGTCTTCAGCTATCACTCTGTGCCCAGCTTCCGATTTCACACGGCGGACTCAACGGTTCTTCTCTTTATCTCCACTCCGAGTTTCCATTTCCGTTTCGACGTCTTCATCAGCTCTCGCATTCGTTTCATCAATCAAACCCTAGTATTTACGCGAATCACAATGATAATCCTTGTGACCATGTGTTCGTACAAAATGTTCATTCTGTAGACCACCTGTTCGACATAATGCCTAGGATTGATGGGTTTGTTGGGAATTCGAAAAATCGGCTTCCTTTGAAGTTGATTGTGCTTGATTCTGTAGCGGCATTGTTTAGATCGGAATTTGATAATACTCCGTCTGATCTTAAGAAGAGATCTTCTTTGTTTTTCAAGATATCAGGGAAATTGAAGCAGTTGGCAAATAAGTTTGATTTGGCTGTTGTGATTACGAATCAGGTTACGGATTTCGTTGAATCTTCTGATGGGTTAAGTGGGTTGAGGATTGGGAATTTGAGGTATTTGTATTCGTCTGGGAGACGAGTTGTTCCTGCTTTAGGCTTGGCTTGGGCCAATTGCGTGAATTCTAGATTTTTTATTTCACGAAGTGATGATATTATTGGTAAAGATAGAAGCGCAAAGGACGAGAGCGGTTCAAGTTCTGTGTCCAGAAGAGCTCAGAGACGGCTTGACATTGTTTTTTCACCTTATTTGCCTGGGAATTCTTGCGAGTTCATGATCACAAGAGAAGGGATTTGTGCGGTTCAAGCGTAGGTGATCTCTGGTGCTATGTAGGATAATTTTTGTTCGAAGCATCACGAGTGTTTTTTGGAGCTTTTGTGCATTATTTATGTAGATTGCAGAGGGATCCGGGAGATGGGTTGCAGCAAAGCCAGGTTTTTTTCTCCGGATTTTCTCCTCTTGTTTAGATGTGATATAGAAAATCTCTTCGGTGCTTGTCTTTAGTTGATGAGGATGCTATGAACAATTCTTCATGATAAAGCTTTTTAAATGATTCCTATTAGCTCCTACTAAGCTTACTGCAAGCTTCTCACTTTGTTCTCTGATTCTCTATCCTTTGCATCATTGAATTTGCACGAAGTCGAAAAAATTTCCCACTTGGTTGCTATCTTCATATCATTTCCTTTGATGAGTAAATTGCTGATGTGATCTTCATATCTGGCCCTAATATCTTTATGGAATGGGTAGTGTTGATCTTCCTGGTAGATATAATTTTTGTATCTACTTTCACTTGAACTCTGCTAATTCTGTAGCTAATTTCTCGGTTCTTATAACCTGAAAATGACTGAAATCACAATATATGATGATACATACCTTAAGAAGTGCCATAACCCATAAGTAATTCACCTGAATTTCATTGTCTTCTTTGACTTATTGGTAAGCAAATGTAGTTAAAACAACAGATTACTAGTAACAAAAAGATCTCTTCCTGTCCTTGCCCTTTGATTCTATTCTACTTTTGTGTGGTCATTCAGTGGCAGAGGAATCAATTGCAGTTCGAGAGGATTAAATCACCATCTGATCTGTACAAGAATTAGAGATTCCGGGCAAGCCTGAAGCTAAAAACAACCATTGAATCATCTCAGGAACACGACGGAGCTCTACAAGAAGAATGGTTTCTGGCCGTTGTTGGTCTTTGGATTAACAAAAACTCTGTATACGAATCTTCACTTTTGTTTATTTTGTACCAAATGTATAAGTTTCAATATTTCACTATGAGCAATAATAATAATTCTTCTCTCTATGTGACCCGGCCCATTTACAAGATATGGCCCATGTTCATAGACTTTTCACTTTTGTTATATACGTCATAGTTACATCACTTAACAGCGTAAAACTAACTCCGACTGGTACCGGATTCGATTCGTGGTTATCAGAAATCGAATCAATAATGTCGAATCCTGCAGCCGTCGCCGGCAGAGGATCAATCACTCACGTCATATTCGACATGGACGGTCTTCTTCTCGGTAATCTCGTTGCATCTGATCTTCAATCTCAAGCTTTATTAGATCGTACTACTGTCACTATCGTTGTTTAGATTGCTGTTTTCTTAAGGAGTGAGTTTTTAGTTCCCACTGGCTAAATTTCATACCATTGAGGTTAAGATGCTAAAGCAATTAGCTTGAATCTGATCGAAAATCGGACAATTGAGTTTTTTGTTCTGTGTATTCAAAATCTCATGCTGATTTGGTTTTCTGTTGCAGACACTGAGAAGTTTTACACTGAGGTCCAAGAGATTATACTTGCTAGGTTCAATAAAAAATTTGATTGGTCTCTTAAGGCTAAAATGATGGGTAGAAAAGCAATAGAAGCTGCCAGGATCTTTGTTGAAGACAGCGGGATTAGCGACTCTCTTTCAGCTGAGGACTTCCTTGTCGAGAGAGAGTCAATGTTGCAAGACCTTTTCCCTACTAGTGAGCTCATGCCAGGTACATTCTCCTCTCTGTTACATATTTATTAGCAGGAAGATTACATGTATGTGGGTAGACCCAAAAAGGCACTGCCTTTGTGCTGAATCGTAATCATCCATTTAGAAGAAAGAATACTCAGTCTCTGCTTTTAGTTTCATTTCGTTGTTCATCTCCGTTGATCTTAGTTGCGTGAATCTGACCATTTATGCTACAAGAAAATAACAGCTGAAATATACCAGCACTAAGCCCTTATACTTTTCTGGTCACGAACCAATTCTCTTCCACACTTTCAGGGGCTAGCCGACTCATCAAGCATCTCCATTCAAAGAATATTCCAATATGTATCGCTACCGGGTATCTTTTTCACCTCATCAACACATCCATTAAGCTTCCATTCTCATTTTCAGCTTCTTTTCTTTACAATCCAGAAACTGACTTGTTATGTTTGAATGTACGGTTGCAGTACTCACACACGACATTATGATCTAAAAACCCAAAGACACAGAGAGCTTTTCTCATTGATGCATCACATAGTTCGTGGTGATGATCCAGAGGTGAAGCAAGGAAAGCCTGCCCCAGACGGGTTCCTCGCTGCAGCTAGGAGATTTAAGGTAACTAACAGGCAACAATCTCCAATATTCTCCATTACTATTTCATCTCTAAAATGAGTTTCCGCTTCGTCTGGATTCCTTAGGACGGTCCTGTGGATTCACAAAAGGTTCTGGTGTTCGAAGATGCTCCATCTGGAGTTCTTGCTGCTAAAAACGCCGGAATGTAAGTGGGTTTCTCTTCATGTAAAACCAATAAAAACCCGAGACATTTATTGTATTTACGCCCAAGAAACAAGTTTCATTCATCTTGATTTCTATCTACAGGAACGTGGTGATGGTACCGGATCCTAGACTAGATATCACTTACCAAGATGTTGCAGATCAAATTATAACCTCTCTACTCGATTTTAAACCGGAGGAGTGGGGTTTGCCTCCATTCGAAGATTCAAACTAAACGATACAAGCGTCTTCAAGGTAATGATAAAAACTCAAATCATGAAATGGTGAGAAGCTTAGTCTTTGTCTTTATTATATCGTTTTGGCATGTACATGACAAGGCCATGCTGCATTATGTCGTCAAGGGTTCTATGATTTTCTGGCTATTGAAGATATAAAAATAAACCAAGTGGTGACATGACGAGAGACCAAACAAAAAATTGCCTCAACGTTTAAACAAATTTTTTTTGTACAACTACTCTTACCCACAAGTTTCAACATTGGCTTATCTTATTTTGTTCTTGTCGGGATAGCTGAATTGATTCCTCTTTATGGTTTGGAATCTCTCTTCTTTACGCATCACTAACATGTGTTGTTACTGCATAAAATTAATACTCTCGTCCTTTCTTCAAATTTAATGTTTTATATTTGTCAATGTAAAGATCATTACACTATACTAAAGAAAAATAGGGTAAATTTAGTATTACAACTTGTTTTAAACCTGTGAAATCTAAAAAACATACGAAATAAAAATTTGATTCAGTTTTCATGTCGATTTCTCAGCACCATCTTTGTCAACTTTTTCGTCGATTCAATTTGTTTTTATCATATTGTAAGTGAACAAAGAAGCAAACACATCCGATGATAATCTTACAATAATGCCATTAGGATTCACCGACATGGGCTGTTACAAAACATCGTTGCCAAAACGGTCTTTCTCTTCACTCGTTTCTTTTCACTTTTCTTGTGTTTCCCTTGACCGGCAAGATTCGAATTCTCTTTGCTACACGAACAAAGTCCCTGTGTCCACAAGCCAATTTTAATTTCTCGTTAACGTCCAAGTATTTATATAACTTCAAATGTACGAGAAAACAGTTGTTTAAGATCACAAAACCTTAAACAACTAATTGAACTAACCATTGAACGAAAATATTTTTTTAAGAAAGGATAACGGTATCAAACACAATAACTATAGCCAGCAGCAAAATTGAGTTTAAAGAATAAGAATAGCAACAAAATATCATTTCACTAAATTATTGTATTTTTGTCTTTTTAGAAAAGCAGAAAACTTGTGTTTTTTTTGGCAGCTAGAAAACTTGTGTTTGTAGTATATACCGTTATGAACTAGGGAAAAAAAATCTACTAAGGTTTTCCTATTTTTAAAATAAGGCCTCGTTTTATAGTGTGTATATATGGCTGTCCTGACAACAATAAAGAAGACTAATTAAGGGGAGGAAAATTACTTCCATGTAAGATCGCCGGCAAGAAGGAGATCGTTCTCCATGTCTTCATAAGCAATAAGATGGCCAGGAATGGCGTTTGACAGATCAAGATCGTCTGTCGAATCAGCCCCATCGACAAACATTTGTCTTAGAGCCAAAGCCAAGCTCTGATAACTCCCATGCTTGTCTAGGCTTATGCGTTGGCAAATCGAACGTCCCTCGAGCACAACCGTAACCGGAGGAACCACCGATGAAACTAGATCGTCCTCCACGTTAAGGCCAAACCCTTGGAATGATCTACCGGCCGCTTCGGAGCTGGAGTTGCTATTGTTATGGTTTTTCGAAGCCGGTTTGGATATGAAAGGTGTCGTGGTGTCACGAGGTTGATGTGTGGTGGTGTTGTCTTGATGAAACCTTCTTTGCAATGAGTCTTGGGTTTGTGGCTCGAAACTGTTCATATTGAAGGCTTTTAGGGTTTTTGTGACTTAGAGAAGACAACAGACGGTTATATGGAACTCAAAGTGTTTCGTGTTTTTTTTCTTAAGCTAGAGAGAGACTGTGTGTTGATGAGATTCTGGTGAAAGTGAATGTATGTACATATAAATAGATAGAGAGAAGGCGTAAATTGTGTGCAAACAAAGGTGTCTTTTATTTTTACTTTTTTTTTTTTGGTTTAATGTTGTCTTAAATTTTTCATTTTATTTGAAAGTACATCTGCTCTTTGGACTTCTCGTTAAACAATGAATCCTCTCAGTTAAAAATCAATTTAATATTTAGTTATTCAATGAACAATTGGATTCACGTAAATGCATATCAGCATATGTATTAAATGTATTTTTACACTTATTTTATTTTGCTAATCTAACTATATAAGACTATCACTGCGACTGTGAGAGCAAGAGCTGATACAGAAAATGTTCTAAGGTTTCACTTAATTTATTTTTTTACCATAGAGTACCAGCAAGATATATATGCATACAAGTATGAAGAAATGTAAAGCATAAGCTGGAAAGGTTTACGTGGACAAGAAGAAAGCTGACGAGAAAACATAAAAACAGTTTACAAGAGTCAATATAATAAGAGTAAGAACTAGAAAACTCCAAATTAAGGACAGTATAATAAAATGGTGATGAATTAAATAATGGAAGAAGGTATCATAGAAAAAGAGATCTTGTAAATTGTAACGCATGGGCTGCGGAGACGACCGCGCTGCCGTCGCCGAACGACTCGCTTCCTTGACTCGCGCCTGGTCGGGAGTTCCACGTCATTTTCTTTTCACACACTAATACACATCAAGCATACGAAGAATATAAAATTTAATTAAACGGTTTAACACACGCATATATCCACACGACCACACATCAATGTCATATAGAATATAGATACATGCATACCCATATATCTCATACGCATATATACTTTCGGATTAGCACTTGGTCCAAAATGCAGACGCGACATCACCCTTTTAAAAAATAAAATCTGGTGTTTCTCTTGGTTCGAATGATATATGGGAGGAATCGTTCAAAGTAAAGAAGAGACTGTTAGACCACAAATGCGGTTTACACGAATAGGTAATGGACGTATACTAATTCGGATGATTGGCGTTAGTTGCAGTCTACAAACGTTCATAAATAAAATTCGACCCCAAATAAAAAGTTTGAACAATCTACCTAAAATTAGTTAGAAAATTGAAACTAATTAAAAATTATATTAGCTAGGGACACTACTAATTCCAAATCAATAGTCATTCAAACATTATACACTATTTTAAAATCGCAAATAAGTACAATGACCAAAAGTATACTTAAATCATATGTATGAGTCAAATAATTACGCCTACAATTATGAGATTATGCTGAAATGTTAATTTTCATTTGGAACTTTTTGTCTGTTGAATGAAAAATTTAACGGTGGATCCAACAAGCGAGAGGTGAATAAGCTAAAGCAAACCCAAGAAGACATAAAACGAAGCACAAGAAGCATATTTTCTTAAGTTTGAAGCAAACAATAATTTATTCTATACATTTAAAATTTAAACTTGGGATTCGAATAAGAAGACTAGAAGATCCGACATGGGAGGCATGGAAATGTTTAAAACTTACCTCGGTTTCATAGATTTCAATTTAGAAGTAGTATAGTTTAACACATTACTAGTACATTTTATATTTAATCATCTAATTAATTTGTCTCGATTTATGTTTTTTTCGATTCTACAGACATACGTTAATGTTTGCTTATTTCACTCCCCGATAACAATCAAAACAAAAGTTACCCGCTGTTTTGGTCTGTTTCTAACCAAACAATGATAAATCATTTTTGTCATGCTCATCTAACATTACCGCAAGTCTAAACAGGCCTTACACAGGAGCCCAATAAGCCTTATGAAGCCCTAATTAAAACCGTGTGGGCCCACATTCCTCCTTGCTTAAAGCCTAAACAGTTGGCGCGTCAAAATCAAGTGGAGGAGCACTGAAGCAAGTGGGTGTATCCGCACCGGATCATTACCTTAAAAGCTCATTATCAAAACCAAATCCTTTTGATTATTATGACTGAAATAAAAAGCAAAGTGAAAAAAAATAGAGGTTTTAAAACTTTATTTTCGCTCTTCTCTAGAAACATTCCGTTTCAGATATTTTTGATTTTTGAATTTGTTTTCGCTCTCTCTCTCTGCTTAGATTTAGATCTGTTCCTGTGAATTGATTCTCTGTTCAATCGTGTTTCTCACGCCGTCGGTTTCGCCGGAGAAGGAAGTTCTTCACATCGTCGTTTCGAAAATGCCGGCGAATGATGCTGAGTACGATCTCAAAGTAAGTTTACTGTTTTCCGATTGTTTTTTCTCAATACTTCTCTCGACTTTCAAGCTCCATGATTCATTCTATGGTTTCTTCTTCACAGGTTTTATCTCAATCTGCGACTGGGTTAGTTTTCTTCTTCTTCTTCGTCCCCCTAGGGTTTACTTTAGAATCTCCGATTAGTACTGATTTTTTTTTTTTGAGAAGGGATTACACATTCGCGAATGTGGATAATTTGGAGCATTGTACGAAGTATTTGAATCAGACGATGGTTACATTTGGATTTCCCGCCTCGCTCGATCTCTTTTCGAACGATCCGGTTGGGTTTTTTTTTTTTTTATTATTATTGATTCTCGTCGTAATCATGACATTGTTTGGATGTTTTAATTAGGGTTTTGTTGATTTAGGTTTCTATCTCAAGGACTTGCAATTGTATGTACTCGTTGCTGCAGCAACGACAACGTGATATAGAGTTTAGAGAATCTGCTAATGAGCTGAGACAGAGGTGAATTTTGTTTTTCTTCCTTCTTGCAATTTGCTTTGCATTGCACTGTGGTTATTGAATTGTTCTTTGAGGATTCTAGTAGTGTTATTGGTTTATCTTGCTTTAATCGAGTTTGATGTTTGAGCTTATCTACTTTGATTTGTGGAAGGGTTTTCTTGTGGTTTATGTGGATTTCCCTTACTATGTGTAGACAACAATCGGATATAGCTAGACTTGAAGCTAAAGTTGAGAGGCTTGAAGCATTACTCCAACAGAAGGACAGGGAAATTGCAACAATTACCAGAACCGTAAGTCCTATAAAGTGTCAGCTGAAATGGTTTTTACTTAGGCTCTTGATATAGGAGGGTTTGATTATGAATTCACTCTTTTGACAGGAAGCCAAAAACGCTGCAGCTTTGAAGTCTCAGATTGAAAAGTTACAGCAGGAGAGGGATGAATTCCAAAGGATGGTGATTGGTAACCAGGTCTGATTGTGTTTGCTGCTTGCATTAACACTACTTTATCTTGAGGATATTTGTACTGATGGATTCTCTGCATTTATTCTTTAATCACTGAATAGCAAGTCAAGGCTCAACAGATACACGAAATGAAGAAAAAGGAGAAGGATTACATTAAGTTGCAGGTTGTCTATCTTATCTCGTGGAACTGACTTTTTTTCTGTATCCTGTTTTAATTCTGCATCTTGAACGCTTTGTTCTCTCGTAGGAACGGCTGAATCAAGTATTAATGGAGAAAAAGAAAGAATCAAGATCTGGAATGGAGATTATGAATTTATTACAGGTTCTTTACCACCTTCTTGTTTTTTGCACTCAAGGGATTTTCCCACTTGACTGATTATCTGATGTATATAATAGAAAGAAGGGAGGCAACGTGGTACCTGGAATGGCAAGAAGACTGATACTGACTTCTACAAAAAGATAGTAAGAGTCTAACTACAAATTAATTAACTTATGCAAAGTTTCAAGAGCATTCCTTACAAATGTCCTCCCTGCAGGTGGATGCGTATGAAGCGAAAAATCAAGAATTGATGGCTGAGAACACTAATCTAAGAGCATTACTTCGATCCATGCAGGTAAGCTCTTTTTCATGCTAACCTTAACTTGAGTAACTTAACATGTTTTATTCATAAGAGACGTTTTTTATCTTTGGTTTTTTTGCAGACGGATATGCGTGATTTCTTAAATGCTCCAAACGGGTCAGCTAATCCTTCATTGGCTGGAAGTGAGAAACGTGAGGCTGATGCTTCACAATCTCCACTGGGCGGGAAGACGGTATGCATAATCTTGGATAATTGAATGGTTCTTGTTTATAATCTTATATAATTGATTTCCCCAGAATCTAACTAACTAGTCATTACACAGGACGTGTTTGATCTACCTTACCGGATGGCTAGAGGTCAAATAGAAGAAAGTTTGCGCACTAAGATGGCTTCCATTAAGGTTTTTTCTTAACAACATTTTGCGTTTACAGAACGAAATACAATTCGTATCCGTGGTTAACTTTTTTTGCTGTTTGGACATAAAAATGAAGGAACGCATGGTTCAGTTACAAGATGCACCCAAAGGAGCATCTGTTACATCTGAAGCAACAGAGAGAGAGCTTGAACTCGAAGCTCAGCTCGTCGAGGCAAGAAGCATAATCCAAGAACAGGTCCTCTTTCTCATTTTTCTTTATTAATGGCTCAGAGACTCTTTTACTCTCTACATTATGATGTTTTGGAGAAACACTATCTCTTGACTGCTGTTGAGAAACTGACAAGAGCAATGCTATTGCAGGAGTCTATAATGTCGAAACATCTCCCAAAATCAGAGAAGCGAAGGTATCACTTTATATTCTTTGATTTGGCTTAAATAAAGATGATCATGTGAAACAATTAACAATGGCGAAACTTTTTGCAGGCAATCGGTAGTTCCATTGGCAGCCGAGGTATACTTATAGATTCCTCTCTCCTTCATTTCTCCTTTACGTTCTTCCTAAAAAGATTAGTAATGAATCTTGCTTGATCTGTATTTATATAATGTATCTCTACAGGGAGTATGAAAATGTCTAGGAGCTAAAAATCTCTGGATTCAAGTATGTTGCGAAACGAGACTTGTCGCAAAATGTGGTCTTAGTATTGTATTCAGTATCACCAAAACTCTCCTTTGATATCTAAGTTATGTATGTATATTCAGCTTTTAGTTGTGACAAATGAGAGATCTTTTATCCGATTGGGATACCATAATCTTATTATATATGGTTGTTTAGTGTCAAAAATTCAAGGTTGGTAGTCTCTATTACATTATCATATCTTTTAAATTAGTAATCACACAGTAAGTCATAGAGAACACCATGTTCATTGTTCCAAGTTCCAACCAATGAACCAAACTAATCAAATCACTTTGAAACCATTTCATGATTTGATTGCTTTTGTCGGTCCAGTATAATTTAGGAGACTTATGGGGCTTCTTCTTCTGAACTTTCTCAATTTCATAACTCTAGAAGAGTGATAGATACTAGGGGTGTCTAATTTGGTTAAATCGTATTTACTTTTTACAATGAAATCAACTTTTACCGACCAACAAGAGTAAAAGTATATTAGAACCGTGTTTCTATAATCCTAAGTTTTTGCTGTAACCTGTTTTAAATTATGATTAATTCGTATGTTTTCGTAAAAGTGGGTTTTGATGGTGGTTATTGCGTTATTAGTGTGAAGATTAATACAAAAGTGGGTTAAAGAAAAGAACTAACAATATGAAATTGAGGAGTACGCAAAGTTTGGCGTCTCTTAAGGGATTGGTCATTGCCTCCTCACATGCGCATTTGAAATCAGCCGTCCTTTAAACTGTATTAACGTGCGCTTCATCTTAAAGTAAACACATTGATTTTAAAATATCTAGCTCTATGTTTAAAGGAAATCAAATATTTTCTTTGGAAATTTTCCAAAAAGATTAAAAGCTTTCTTTATAAACCAAAAAGATATACAATAAATGTGTTTAATAGTTATGATTTATTTCTTCTGCTGGATAAAGGAGTTTCTTTAATCGTAATTGCCATGTAAATGTAAATGGCAACAACTTTATGTGCATTACAAACAAAAATGGGTCTTATCCTCCGACTAAATCGATGAAACCACAAACCTACAACCATCTTTTGAAATTCAAACGATTATGATTAGTTTTAACATTTTATATTGTAACCCGTTGAAATTTGGTATCCCGCGCAACGCGCGGGCGAGTAAATCTAGTGTTTTTAAATGACAAAAATACATAGCTTTTTATATGTTCCAATAATAATTAGTTTTTGACATCATTTTAAGATCAACCAAAAAAAAATATACAATAGGCCACCGAATCACGAAACAAATATTTTTGGGGTAATTCCAAAAATAACATTTAAAACTATCTTTGTATAGCAGATTACATAAATAGTTTCTTGGTGGATATATACAATGAATGTTTAAACACTTATGGTTTATTTCTTCTTTTGGAAAACAGAGTTTCTTTAATCGTACTTTAGAATAAATATCGGATTCGCTACGTAAATGCTGCATCAACCAAATGTGCATTAAATATAAATCGATCTTATCCATCAACTCTAAATCTATGAAACCATTAAAACTTTGAATAAATTTTGATAATTCAGCTATAACGATAGAACTAAAATTAAGAAAGTAAGAAATAAAGTTTTTTGTATAATAGAAAGTCAAACCCATTCATCATTATATTATTCTATAAACAAGACATTATTATATCAAACTCGTTACATGTATTACACAACACATTATGCGTCTAAGATTCACATAGTCAACTCTTCTTCCCATTAAATCAATTTATATCCATTCTTACAACCATTTTCTCGGGCAAGAATATCTCTCTTTCCATAAATGTATATGTATATATATATATATATATACATACATACACATACACATATTTGCACTCTATATCATCTCCATAAATCTCACGTATCTTCTCTCTTTATGCAAACGACCATCACCATGAATCAAGAACACAATACCACAACTCCAATACCAAAAGCTTCATTATTGTTACTAGAGGATGATCTATGCAAGAGAGAATCAGAGATCTCAAGAAACTCATCGGTGGGAGTTTCTTCTAGATTGTTCTATTACTACCATCATCGAAGTTTCAACGAAGGAGTTCCTTTTAAGTGGGAGATGCAGCCGGGAACACCGATCAATCCTCCGCCGGAAGAAATCATTCGTCCGATTACACCTCCTCCGGCGTTTCTCAGCCTTGGTTTCCCTAAACCCTCAATCTCAGTCGTCGGAGGTTCTAATAAACATTCTCTTTTCCCGGCGAATCTTAAGCTTTGGAGATGGAAGAATCTGCGTAAGAGATATCTCTCTAGATGGTCAAGCCAAAGCATGCTTAATAAAGGTAATTAAAACGTTAAGTGTATTATGATAACTTTTATGTACTGGATTTTTCTATTGATATTTCGGTCAAGTCTAACCTAAAATATATCTTATGACTAATTTAGATTTTGAATGATTACACTATATGAAATGAAAGAATATTGTGAAAAGTAAAATGCGGAATCAGAATAACGGATTCACTAAAAAAAAAGTTGCGTTTATTGAATCAGTTTTTTGTCATTAATCTTGATAGTTAAGGAATAATATATCATAGAATTGTGTGATTGATTATACTATAGGTATTATTGTAATCAATGTGATTCTTTAGTTATTTTGAAAACATTGTTAATTTATATGTGTAACATCTCTTACATATACATTTTCACGTATGATCCAACAGATTATCATATTTCTCGTGACGGTAATTCAAATTCTTGTGATGAATTGGAGAGATTCGAGGAGTTTAAGGATTACAGGTCGAGCTCATGTTCTTCTTCGTCGTCGTCTTCCTCGAAAGATCGGAGATTGATAAAGGCTTCACCACGTCAATGGTTTAGCGGTTGTCCATCTCGGAATTCAAGAAACAATCATACCGGTTTTCATTAAAGTTATACTCTTGAATTATTGTTTTGTACCAGATTAATAGTTAGACAATAAGAAGAAAAAAAGCAAAAATTAGTATCAGAATTATACTAAACTAGAATTTAACCTGCGGTATACCGCGGGGCTATATTTTTTTAAAAAATGTAATGTTATTTTTTAAAAGACTAACTGAAGATATATCATATTAATTTGTATTTTAAAATGTAGATATCTATTTATCAATTTTTGAAGTATAAATACGAAAACATACATTTTTTTTAAGTAACGATGTATGGTGAATTTTAAAATTTTGAATATTTTACTCTGCAGTATACCGTGGGTCGGGTTTTTTATAACTGAAAATTTTAAATTTAAGTTGGATTTGTTTTGTTAATATTGTTTCTTTTGTTTTGTGTTTAAGATTGTATAATTGTATTTTGATTGTTAATTTTAGGATTTCATCCGTGATATACCGTTATTTATTAATATCGACCCAAACCCGTCATCCCATATAAACCCGTCTATATTATCTCGTTAGCTAAATTATTAGTATTATAAAATCCAAGAAAATAAATTATTATTGTTATAAAATCTAATAATTTTAGGATCTCACCCGTAGTATACCGTTATTTGAACGATTTTAAATTTATACTACTAATATATATTTTAAATTTATCATATAAAGTATATGATTTCAAGTTTTTTGTGTTTTTTTTTATTTAAATAAAAAAACGGCTTAAATGATGATAGATATAGTTCTTTTCCTGTATGTGTATTTGATTTTTCTATGTGAATATTTTGATTATTATAAAATAGTATTTTTATTGCTATGCAAAATGTTAATATAAATATTTGCTATAAATTTTTTTGAAGATATATAGAAAGATTGTGTAAATATTTTTAGAAACAAATTAGGCAAGATATTGTTTGGTTAATATCTTTTATTTAAATTTTGTAAAATTAATAATAAATGCCAATGGCATTCTTTGTAAATACTGCCCAACCCTAGGATTTATTTGCTAAAAGTCATCCAAAAATGTATATATAGATGGAGGGAGGGTGACAATTGTCCCCCTCTTATATAAAAATAATAAAATTAGACTAGATCTAAAGTTATCCGACTATTGTGTAAACATTCGTATTTTCCTGTCTTATTTATTTGTATCGATCAAGTTTTCAATTACTATTATTAACATTTTTTATTAAATTTATTTGATAGTTGAACTGATGTGTGGTTACGTGATGACGTCTTTTTCATGTAATTGCCAAACATTTTCCCAATTAATATCGTAATTCAATCGTCAATATCATTATGAGGTCTGCATATCAAAATTTGTAACCGTAATCTTATTTGTTCATTAATATGTTATCTCTGACTAAATAATAAGCATGTAAATGAGCAACTTGTAGATATGCTACGAAAATTAAAGATATTACGGAAGAATTATAACATTTTCATAAAAATAATTGTACAAATTGCATTCTTTTGTATAAAAATAAAATAGATTTTGACTTTTTCAAATCTAGATAGGTATAAATCTAAAAACTAAATTTGGTCTAAATTAAAATAATTGACAAATATCAATAATTTTCTAAATCTTATTTATTATTTTATAATTGATTTTTCGGATAGTCTTTTGACCATTTGATTATATTCGATCGTTGGTAAGTTTAGGCTTTCATTCTTTTGATTCATGTCCTGATATAGTTCGTTCCATTTTGTTAGAAGATGCAAATGGGATAGGAACTCGACGTGATTTGCGTGTGTAATTCTTTATTGTTTTAAGTTAATAAAATGTGGGAGACAATTATCTCTCCTTTGCCCACCAAAAAAATTAATATATTCGATCGTTAGTTCTTAATCTTCATCGGTCTCTCAAATAGTACTCGGCATCTTTCCAATGTTGGAGAGAAATGTTAATATTACATTCTATTGGTATTGTAGTGTCACTGGGCCTGTTATCTTAAACCTACTATATAGATATTCAATTGGGTAGATCCAAGTATGAGATAGAAGTGGCACTGGCAAATATGTCAAAAGTATCACTAAAATCAGTAATACTTTGCTAAGTTTCATGAAATACCCCAACTAAATATTGGAAAAATTATTGCCAGCTACACGAACTATACGCCAACACATCACCACACATGCAGACTATTTTAATGTTTCGCTAACTACACGAATAATTGGTATTACATACGGATATCCCCGAACTATCATCGGTTATGTGTGCAACACTATAACCATCATTTCCAAATAATATAAATGTCTTGTTAACTACACAAAGTATTTCTTTTTTTTGTCAACTACACGAAGTATTTTCATCAATTTTTTTTTAAAACTAATAAATTAAATAAAACTATATAATATATCAATGTAAATTATATATGTACATTATAACTATTCTAACTTTAAAATTTTAATGTAATAAAGACTAAACTAGTTCCATAAAAAATATATGTGTTCATTAAAAATTTGTTAATTAACTTAAACCTATAATGAACATGTATAATTTAATTAAGTGACACTTTTAAAAATTTAGTTAAATTATTTTCATATAAAACATATGTGTGCATTAAAAATTAGTTAATTAATTTAACTTAAAATTATAAGGGATATTGCATATGTAGAATTTAAACTTTAAAAGTTATAATGCATATATATAATTAACAATAGTGTATTATTTACTTTTAGTTATTTTTTCATTTTGTAATTTAGTTTTTAAAAAATGATGGAAATATTTCGTGTAGTTAACAATACATTTATATTATCTGGAAATGATGGTTTTGGTATATATAATTTATATTGATATATTATATAGTTTTATTTAACTTATAGTGATGTATAATTTAACTAAGTGACTATTTTAAATTTTTAACAATTTAATATAATAAATATTAAATTAGTTAAATTAATTTAACTTAAAAGTATAATGCATTAAAAGTTATAATATATATATATATATAATTTATAATAGTGTAATATTTACTTTTTAGTTATTTTTTATTTTTTAATTACTTTTTTAAAAAAAAATTTGATGGAAAATATTTCGTGTTATTGACAAAAAAAAAAATATTTCGTGTAGTTAACAAGACATTTATATTATCTAAAAATGATGGTTATGGTGTTGCACACATAACCGATGATAGTTCGGGTATATCCGTATGTAATACCAATAGTTCGTGTAGTTAGCGAGACATTAAAATAGTCTGCATGTGTGGTGATGTGTTGGCGTATAATTCGTGTAGTTGGCAATGATTTTTCCCATAAATATTTGAGCTGCCTTCATTCCCTATCTGTTATCCAAAACCAAATATTTCATCTCCACATAACAAATCATATTTAGTAAGCGTATTGTCCTGGACAAAGAAAAAAATGAGCTTATCAACTTGGGTTACTGAATAACAAAGATTATAAACCGGTTAGAAATAAATTAGATGTACCCAGTACCACGTAATAAGAATTTGTCGACTTATTACTAATTTACAAAAAGTCTTCGGGCTTTAACTGCATCAGCTCATGTGCACTGTGATACACTGGACCAAACATACAAGAGATTGTAGCCGTCAGATATTCTTTAGCCAACAAAAATAATGTCATTTTTGAACGATTGAGATAGCTCCCACTAAAATGAAGAAAAGAAAACAAACGCCTATTTCATTGTCCAATAAGCGGCAAATCGTATTTGTTAGTATAAAGGTCTTTTCTAGTTAAAAAAGACAAAACTGAACGTGTTGTGTGTATTATATGAAAAAATAGGAAAGTGTCATGCGATAATTCACAATTTGCAATTATAACAAAATAGTAGGATGACAAAGCGAACGTGGGGGAATGATTTGATGTAGCTTTTCAAAATCCGACCCATTTATATTCGTTTTCTCATTTTGTTTTTATCTGTAGTCGTATTATTCATAATATTTAGTTAGGGTGTGACTGGTTATTATAAATAGAGAAAAAGAATTGGAAAGAAAAATAATTTTTCTCAGTTACTTTATCATTTCTCCAATAAAAAAAAATTTGTTCACCAACCAAAATAAATTTTTTATTCTCAATTCTTCTACTTTTCATAAGAAACCAATAATTTGCTTTCCTAGTTTTCAGTATAAAAATTTGTTCCCATAAATACATGGTATACAAATTTCTTCTACTATTTGCTTTTCTTTTCTTCTCATTCTCATTTTTTTCTTATTTTTCTTCTCTTTTCTTTTTAAATCACACTAGTCACATCCTTAGTGTTTTTAAAACAAGCTTTTTGATATTAAAATGGTATGATAAGAAGGCCTGCATTTGATTCTGGATCGGTTTGTACAATGTTTTTATAGCTCGGTTTAAATCAATCACCTTCGTGTATCATATTTAACAAAAACAGATTTTTATAAACTGAAGATACAGTTATTTTTGTGTTCTGTAGTAGTCGTCGAAGTAGTACAGAAAGTAGTACAAGAAGTAATTCATGAAGATGAGATGCATAACTGCTGATGGGGAGCTCGAGTACTTGGGTGTTGGAGCGTTTGTCAAGTCGGAAAAAGGAAAATTATCTTTGAAGACAAAATGAATCATGTAAATAAAAGGAGAAGTTTGCTTGAAGAGAAAAGAAAATTGGCATGAGATTTGGAAACTTTCTCTTATGTGTGATTAGAAGAACTTGAGACACAAGTTTCTGTTTGTTATATATAAAAGACGTGACCTTATGAGAATGGGGATTTGAAGAATAGAAAAATCCCAAAGACATTCGATGTGAGAGATTGTGTGTGATCGTGTGCGACGTAGTTTCGCGGGTTTTTGCTTGTGTGATCAAGCTTATTTGTGTGTTGGTGTTGACATACGTGTTGGAGTATTTTGGTGATCGTTTGGTTCGTTCGTGTGACGATTTGTGTGTGGTGGTCGTTCGAGAAACTTTGGAGAATTAAAGTCTAGACTCATAGGGAGTTTAGTTCAGGGTTGGGTTATCTTGATTAAATCTAGGCTCATGAGAGTTTAGTTAAAGGTAGAAATTTATCCATAAGATTTCATGTTAATAGAACGGAGCGGTGAATCAAGAGGGTTATGCTTGGTTTAACGCGTTTGCGAATAGATTGTATTTGCTTTCTTGTTTTAGTGAAATCGAAATCTGGACATGATCCTAGGGAGTAGAAAAAACTGAACCTCATTAACAAGGTTTTTATCTCATTTATTTTCTGCAATTTATCTTATCTCATCCGCATTTACTAAAACAATATTAAAAAGCAAATTTAAACTTTAAAAAATTAACTTTAACTCCATCATTAAATAACATCTTCTTAGAAAAAATGTAAGAGTATTTGTTTTTCATGATTGACAATGAAATCTAAAAACATGATAGTCAAATAAGTAAAATATATTTCGGCGCCGAACTCTTTGGCAAAATTTCTTCTATTCATTTTCTTTTAAGTTCTCTTTTGGCTTTTTTATTTGTTTTTATCACACCTCGTTACACCTTCTTTTTCTCTTTTCTTTAAGTTGAAACGTAAAACGTTACATATTTATAAATACAAAATATTTAAAAGTACAAAAAAATACCATATACCAGTTGCTAAATAAAAACAATTTGATTTTTTATCACTAAAAATATCGATTTAAATACCGGTTTAATACTATTTTGTGTAAAATCTATTACTCTCTCTGTTTTTTATTATCCTATTTTCTAGGAAATGTTTGTTGTTTCAAAAAATAGATATTGTAAACTTTTTGCAATATTTGTTAGTTATTGTTGATGAAATGTAAGTTTCAAAAAAAAAAATACTAAATACTATTTATTTAGAGTTATAGAAATTAGTAACTTACAAAAAAATAATACATTTAGAATCAACTTCTAATATATTTTTTTAATATGTGTGAAAATCTTAAAAATACATTGATAACAAACATAGGAAATATGAGTTATTGAGTAAAGAGATAAACTATACATTAAATGGAAATCAAGTTTTAAGCTCAATGAATTGAATAGTGATTGTTGGACCATTATACTAAACATAAACTTCAATTCGTTTCCATTTTTTTCAGCATTTGAATTAGAACAGATATAACTTCACATAATAACTAATCGTATATAAGTGAGTTGCTTAGTCCAAAAGTAAACTACACTACACCCACTCCGGTTTTGATGCCATTACTTTCGATCGATCCACCGTGACCCTCTTTTTGGAATCTTGTTCAACTTATATTAAACTTGTGGTTCCACAATCATAATAATAAACTTGTGGTTTCACATTCTTTGACCGCACATTCCATTAAATAACTCTAGCCCCGACCGCTTTAAGTGGAAAAAGTAGCATTAGAATATACTTACAGAGATAATAGAACAAAATGAAGGGAAAAAAAGGCTACACTATTATTTAACACGTGATACTCCGAATTCATGACGCGACCTGAAAACCAAATACGTGCTTTAAAAGCGGGCATATATTTTACATTCCTTGTTTTCAAGTGTTATTATTATTTTTTAAACCAAAAAAAAAAAAGTGTTACTATTATTTTTTCTGTTAAAAGGCTAAAGTGTTATTTAACAAGTTCATATTGTACATTCTATATATCCAGTGTATTTGCACCTATATCGTATTAAATCGTATCCATGAACATACGATTCAGAGTTCATAGCCATAGGTATGTCAATGATCATATTAAATAAGCAATTTGAAGAGATTATATATAACAGTAGAACATACATGTACATAAAAGAAGAAGACGTGTATTGACTAATTGTTTTTAATTCTGGTGTATAAAATAATGTTGATGGCTTGATGCGTAGAAAACAATAATTGAAAGAAAGCATATACTATAGTTGTTAAAAACAAGATAATGGTGCAGGGTGAAGAGATAAACAATGGGATAACGCAGCATGCAGATGACACGTGTGTATAATAGGTGACACGTGTGGGCGGTTTACATGCAAACCATGTGCTCGCCATTACCACATAATTTAAACCTCATCTATATTTCTTCTTTTAGGTCCAAACACGTAATTAAATTTGGTTTTAGCAAATCTCATCGAATATAATCCTTATATTGACACTTCTCTTTATAGTCTCACGTCAGTCCCTAATCTCACGCTCCTTTTCCCACGCGTTTGGCTCAAACTCGAAACGCTAAACATAAAACGCTATTATTGTTATAACTGAAATTTTCGGTCATTGGTGTATCGAAAAAACTTGGAAAACGCACCAATAGCCCATTTACGTGCATGATGTGTTGCTAATGGCATGGCATCAAGTCCGAAAGGCAATTATAGAGGAAAAAAACATGTTTTGGTTTGTTAATGTGTTGTACGGTGCTGCATTAGTGCATCGTGGCACACGAAATTTGGTACTATAACAAGGTGCATTCCGACTTTCTTCAATATATTTATGCATATTAAATAAATTATTTTCAATGCAAAGTATTGTCTTATATTAGTATTTATTTTTAAAAATGAAAAGGAAACAGAAGTAACATAAATGTAGATTAATCAAACGATTATATAAGAAATTATTGCGAGAAACATAAGTTTTGTATACCAACCAACCTTTTGTTTTGCCACGACAAAAGCTAGATAAGATTGGCGAATTTTGTTTTATTTTATAATTAGAAAAATGTAAAATGCTTTCTTAAATTTGATATGTGTATTCACCGAATTCCTAGCAATTTAACATCATTACAAATTAAAAGAAAAAAAGCAGATGGTGATGAAAAGAATGGAAATTGGCGCCAAAGCTTTCATATGAATAGCGAGTCCACAAGACGCGCGAGTTCTGTCTCTCCTTTTTCGTTTGTTAATTAAAGTATTTTAAATATTTTTATGAATCGTAGAAAACTAGAACGTAGTGAAAAAAGAACCAAAATTATTCATTTAAATATTTTCTTCTTAAAGGAGATGTCCGAAAATATCGCATTGTATTGGAGTGGTCAAAGAATGACGAAAAAGATTAGGAGGAAGGCCAAAGTTTGTAATAATTGGATACAGAACAGAGGGGACACGCGTCACCTTTTTGGACCATCTCCAATTATTCCACTTTCCTTGCACTATTTTGTAGTAATCAGCTCTATTTATAATAAAAGCATAATTCAAATTATTTTTTAAAAATTAGCCTAGGATCAAGATTACTGGTTCAATATTGACATTGGCATAACAAATATATTTACTTATAAATCTTATGAAATCAAAAGTTATTCTAATAATGCTACATTTATAAGATACTAATAACTTTTGGATTCTATTTTGGAAGTGGTTCCCAACTTGCATAACATTTATAAATATATTTACTTATAAATCTTATGAAATCAAAAGTTATTCTAATAATGCTACATTTATAAGATACTAATAACTTTTGGATTCTATTTTGGAAGTGGTTCCCAACTTGCATAACATTTATAAATATATTTACTTAGAAAAACAAATGTTCAAAAGATTCACCGTTTGTGTAGATAATACGTAGACCGTTCGTCCTTCACATCACAAGAAGAAATTCACAAAAACAGAAATAAATAATGAAATAGCAAATAAAATAAAACGAAAGTGACGTGAGATCAGTCGCCGCCCAGTTCATCCCATCAAAAGCTTCCACTTGCCCTTTTGCTGTCTTCCTTTCTCTCTCTCTCTCTCTCTTTGCTCTACTATTTTCATTTTGTTTTTTACTGTTTTTTTTTCTATAAATAATTTAGTTTCATCATTACATTATTTGGTAAACATATGACTTTTTTTGTAGCAGCTAGCTGGTGACTACATTAAGATCACTAATTTGAATTGATTTTCTTATGTTTTATTATCAGGTTAAAAGAATAAAAAACCTTAAGATTAAGTGGAAGATGTGGTAATCCAAAAACAAAATATGTGCGAACGTTAGGTTAAGTTATTGTGTGTTAAATACTAAAATTAGTAAACATAGATCTATCATTTAGCTAAATATATGCATCCGACATTCTAATTGTTTTATAGTATGATTATACGTGGTCTCTGCATGTGATTTTCTAACAAAAATTATGAATATAAATTTATTTAGCTTGGAATATAGACTACAGAGTCTCGACCCTCGTGCTCGTCTCTCTCATACATTTCCTCACTCGTCTCTCTCACCTTTTGCCCTCTATATCTGTGTCGTGTCCTCTCTCTTTCTCTCTCTATCTATCTCTCTCTCAAACCCTAGAGGAAGGAGTTAAAAGACGAGAGACCTTCCACTATTTCCAAAGTCGTGAAATCACCAGAGATTTAGATATACCTCTCTCTCTCATCCAAAAGACTTCACGAGTCCCCAAAGAGAAAAAAAAAACCCTATTTCCAAAGATGAAGAACAATAACAACAAATCTTCTTCTTCTTCTAGCTATGATTCTTCTTTGTCTCCTTCTTCTTCATCTTCCTCTCACCAGAACTGGCTCTCTTTCTCTCTCTCCAATAACAACTTCAATTCTTCCTCAAACCCTAATCTCACTTCCTCTACATCAGATCATCATCATCCTCACCCTTCTCATCTCTCTCTCTTTCAAGCTTTCTCCACTTCTCCAGGTTCTCTTTCTCTCCCCCTCTCAACTTATTAGTGTTTTTGTCTTTTGAAAATTTTGTATGAATTAGGACAGACCAACTTTGAGTTCTGTTGCACCTTGACCAGTTCCTTACCTTTTTTGGTTTAACTAAACTTTTGCTTATTTAGATTTAGTAAGTAGTCAATTTTTAATTAGTTATCTCTTTTATCTTCTTTTTTTTTTTTTTTTTGGTTCGGTGTACTATCAGTAAATCTATTCTAGTGTATCCTATAGAATCTATTAAAATCTAGATTTATAAACTAGATCTAGTTTTATCTTCCTATCTATAAGATCTAGTTAAAAATTAAATATCTATAAATTTTTCCTACAGAATCTTTCACTAGATATTGTCTCCTTCAAAGTAAAACACTAATTACTTCAATACCCTCGTAAAACGAAACCAAATTTCAGTCGAACGGCAAGATGGGTCACCGGGAGTTTCAACCGGCGATGCCACGGCGGTTCTTTCCATTTACCCCGGCGGTCCTAAACTTGAGAACTTCCTCGGCGGAGGAGCCACAACGACGACAACAAGATCAATGCAACAAGTGCAATCTCTCGGAGGTGTTGTCTTCTCTTCCGACCTACAGCCACCGCTTCATCCTCCCTCCGCGGCCGAGATCTACGACTCGGAGCTCAAATCAATAGCCGCTAGCTTCCTCGGAAACTACTCCGGTGGACACTCGTCAGAAGTCTCTAGCGTTCATAAGCAACAACAGAACCCTCTAGCTGTCTCAGAGGCTTCGCCCACTCCAAAGAAGAACGTAGAGAGTTTTGGACAACGTACTTCGATTTATAGAGGAGTCACAAGGTGCGTTTAACCAAATTGTTCCTTTATTTCATATGATTAGAAGATAATATAACATTTTTTGTACATTGTCTTTATATGTGTAAATTCATTCATGAGTTTATTATTAGTGAAAATGTATAATTGAATTTTGATTTATTTAAACAGACATCGATGGACTGGAAGATACGAAGCTCATCTATGGGATAATAGTTGCCGAAGAGAAGGCCAAAGTAGAAAAGGAAGACAAGGTACATTTTTGTCTTAAAATGCGCTTATTCTGCGCGTGTTAGGAAGATTCCGTTGATGTTTACTATAATGCGCATCTTGTATTTATGGTTTTACTTTTACTTTTTACTTTTTTACTTGTGAGGTCACGGCAAAATCTAACGTCGCTTTTTATGTTGTGTTTTGTCTATGTGACGTGAAATGATTACCCAACCGTGGACGATCTGAAATTTGTGATGATTTTAATTGTTTCTACAGTTTATTTAGGTGAGTTCCAATGAATTCTCTTTTAAATAATTTATTTCATCATCATATTTATATCTCTTTCTTGTCTATTTAATTCCCTCTGAAACGTTGTCATTCTCTCTCGATTTTAAATTTGCAATTTTAAATAATTATTTTGAAATGTATTTTTTCGTTATGTTCAGGTGGTTATGATAAAGAAGAGAAAGCAGCTAGAGCTTACGACCTTGCAGCTCTTAAGTATTGGGGTCCTACAACTACGACTAATTTCCCGGTAATTTGTCTCTCGTTTTTGTATGTCTATCTGAATTTTTCAGGATTGTTTTTTAATTTTCTGGATAAATACTTGTGATTAGATATCAAATTACGAGTCTGAACTTGAAGAGATGAAACACATGACTCGACAAGAGTTCGTTGCTTCTCTAAGACGGTAATCATTTTTTCTTAGATATGTTTTTTTCTCATAGTTGTTTCAAGAAAACCAAAATACTATTTGTTAACCAAAATACTATTTGTTTTTAAAGCAGTGGATTCTCTAGGGGTGCCTCCATGTACAGAGGTGTCACTAGGTTAGTTTATTCTCTAACCAGTAGATATTTATTTTCAATGATAAGTTCTATGAAATAGTCTATCGTGTATGTTTCTAGTATAATGATTTAACTTTATTACAATTATGCAGACATCATCAGCATGGTCGATGGCAGGCACGAATTGGAAGAGTTGCCGGCAACAAAGACCTTTATCTTGGCACATTTAGTGAGTCCCATTTCAATATTTTTATGAATCTGATTTGAAATATTTGTTATGATTATGAATTAACAGAAAGTATTGGATATTTAACTTCAGGCACTCAAGAGGAGGCTGCAGAAGCTTACGATATAGCAGCGATCAAATTCCGCGGTCTAAATGCAGTCACCAATTTCGACATCAGTCGATATGACGTCAAATCTATAGCTAGCTGTAATCTCCCTGTGGGTGGACTAATGCCTAAACCGTCTCCAGCAACCGCAGCAGCTGAGAAAACCGTTGATTTATCTCCATCCGACACTCCATCACCGACGACACCGTCTCTGACCTTCAATGTGGCAACAACGGTCCATGACCATGGAGGAACTTTTTACCACACTGGAATACCAATCAAACCAGACCCGGCTGATCATTATTGGTCCAGCATCTTTGGATTCCAGGCAAACCCGAAAGCCGAGATGCGACCAATAGCAACCTTTGGGTCGGATCTTCATAACCCCTCCCCAGGTTATGCTATAATGCCGGTAATGCAAGAAGGCGAAAACAACTTTGGTGGTAGTTTTGTTGGGTCTGAAGTGTATAACAATCATTCCGCTCATTCGAGCCCGGTCTCAGCAATTCCGCTGTCATCGACAACGAATGGTAACGAAGGGTATGGTGGAAACATTAACTGGATTAATAACAACATTTCAGATTCTTACCAAACTGCAAAGTCTAATCTCTCTGTTTTGCAGACACCAGTTTTTGGGTTAGAATGAGTTCTCTCATAGACCAAAAAAAAGGATGTAAGAAAGAAAGATAAAAAAGGCTCTGTTTGAAGAAATCAGATATTTTCTTCTTAGATTATTTAAGTAGTTTAAAATATAAAGTTTTTCACTTTTATGTTTGTCTGCTGACCGCGAATTTAGCTGGATCTGACAGTACTAACTCTTTGTTTAATGACCTTATGGGGTTCTCTTTCCACTTTCCAGAACTTTTTTATTTACTTTTTTATTTATTTTTTTCATTTTTTATGTTGTGTGGACAATATGTGAATAAATGAAAGGTGGAAATCAAACCATATTCGGTAACTTAAATATCGTCTGCATGGTGTTGTTTCGTCATTTTATTTTTTTGTTATTATTGTATATGAAACTGCAAATGTATAAAGCCTTTTTTTTTTGTGACATCCTTTTGAAGAAGGCCTTTTCATTTATCTATATTTGTCACAATGTGATCAGTGAAAGAGATAGTCATCTGGATCTTCCTACGTTCGGAATTTCATCTTGGAATTCAACCTCTGACATCTTAAGTTAAAAAGTGTGTATACAATAAAGTGAAAGAAAAATTGTTTTGTTCCCTTGCATGTCGGAGGATCATCGGAATTCATCAACACAAGTGTTAATATTAAGTGACTCTAAATCGTATATTAAGTGGTTTAGTTCATTTATTTTTCAACAGTGTGTCAAAAACCAAACGTAGATAAAAGCGTCCAAAATATTGTACGGAGAGTTTAGCGTGAGATGTCAAACCAGTGCAACACGATGACCATCGCCAAAGAAAATCTTCCTATCCTATGAAGAAAAAAGAAACAAACTTCAGATGAAAGAAAAAAAACACATTAATTTTGGTAGTTAGCACAGTTAAAGATTTGAAGACTATATACAAAGTTATTAGTATTATCTTTTGCAATGGTAATTACTAATTGGTCAAGGAAGTGAACATAATGAGTCCATTAAATATGGATTAGCCGCCTGAAGAAGTAAGTAATCATACATGCAAAGATTCCAAACTAGTAAAAAAAAAAATGACAACAACTACGTCAAATTTTAACTTTATCTCTAATATTCTCCCTTTATTGTTCATTTCAATGGGTTAAAGTTGATAAACATAAATCTTCATATTTTGCATCCTGGAGATTAATTATGAAATAATCAACGTGATAGAAATGCTTTTTTTTTCTTGATTTACACTTGCCCAATAATCAATCATCATATATATATACTGTTTTAAATGTTCATATCACATTTTTTATGAGACGACCACACAAATTATTATCAAGATCAAATATACAATTAATTGTTCATGAAACACTTTTCAAAATCATAATTGCATCCATAATGTTTAGTAACTATCATTTAACCTTTTTCCTGATTTTTTTTTTTTTTTATCATTTAACCTTTTTCCTGATTTGCTTTTCGTCCATGCTCTCTTCCCAATTTGTGTCCAAGTATTAGCACATTTCTCTCTTCCAGTTGTTTTAAAATGTTACTGCAAGTGAACTTTCTTTAACATTTTCTGCTAATTTCAAGTTCTAGCGCAATATAGTTGTTACTTATACGACAAAGGCTAACGATACAATAATATTAGAAACTTTCATCGGATATGTTATGGTACAAACTTCATATGAATTTTTACGTGTTTACCATGTAAAAGCATTGTTCTTGTTCCTCATTTGATTATTTATTGTTTCTATATCTAAACAAGAAATTATGAAATCTAAACCATAACTCCAACACTCTAATTATTTAGTTGATCAACATGACCAAACTAAAAGTATGTATGCGGATTTAAAACTGTGGTTTGGACCGGATTAGCCCTACCCCACCCCTTATCACCTTATCCCATCTCTTTACGTAAGAGATTTGGAACATGATCGATCAAAATGATGGCTCATTTAACACATTTTAGTCGAATCCCTCTTTTGATTCACAATACAACTTTCTAACCTGAAATAACTTGGGTTCAGATATAGAAAATTATATGTTTATGGATATCTTCTACAAAACTAAGTATAGTGTATTTTTCCACGTCTTTGTCATAATCACTCGTTCATGAATTCTAACATATTAATCGAATATGGATTCTTGATTATTCTTTGGCCAAAAAGTCACTCGTCCCAAGAATTAGTTGAAGAAATTCTACATGGGATGCTAATAAAAAAAAGACTGGTTACATGGCAAATACCTTTTTTTGGTATCTGGACCGTCTTCATAGGCAAACTAAATTGTTAATGGCTGGCTATATTAGTACTTGTATAATAGCTATAATGTAAACTATTAAAGTATTTGTAGAATGAAAGTACTATACTAATGTTAAAGATGAGCTGGGCAATTAATTATTTAAGGAAATCTTTAGCATCGGTTGATTTAGAAAACAAAGTTTCTCCACCTTTTTTTCCCCGTGGAATTGTAGTTTAGTGTTGTTCTAACGGGATTTCTCATTTTCATGTGATGCAAAAAAAAAAAAAAAAATTGTGAAAGTTTTTTAAATATTATCATTTTTGAAACTTCATAAAAACTAATAACCTTTTTCTCACAAAATCTAAACTCAAAATTCTTAAATTATATAATTGTTTTAGAACCGCGATATATAGTTTGGTTCTAAGCCAGTTCTTCAATAAATAAAAAATGAACCAAAACGAAAGCGATAAAAGCCGAACCAAATCCAAACCAAAATTTTAAAATATCTAAAAAGATTCTATCTAAACTCTAAAACGGAAATACCCAAAACCTTCAAAAATACATAACTGGAATCGAACTGAATACCCAGATACCAAGGACTAGTTCCGTACACTAATATCAACATAACAACATTATCACAATCTCTTCTCCTCTCTTGTTATCAGAATTTGGTTTGCAAGAAAAGGAAAAAAAAAGAAGCATTTTTGTAAGGAAAAAAAAAATATATATATATATATATTAATAAATGTTTTATGACGGTAGTAAATATAAGTTAATTGTAACATATAAGGAGTCTTCAGCGATATCCTAGAAAAGATACATATATATATATATACAATATCAGTCCAGCATTGGTTACAGGTCAAATCAAAGCATTTGCGTATATAATATCTTCGAAAGCACGTGAAGATATTTCCAACTTTTTTTTAATATTAAAATATACAAAACCAAAATTCTATAAGAACTTAAAAAAAAAAAGCGCTCAGAGCAGAAGTTTCATCCCTTAGAGGGTTTCCTCTTAGAAACATCTAGAAAAAAAAAAAGGAGAGAGAAGAACCACCAGAGAAACATCTTTTCCTTTGTACAAATTCCCCATTAAAGATCTCTAAACTAAACCTAGAAAGAAAGAAAAAAATCAGAGAAAAAAACGAAGAACACGAAGAACGAAAAAAAATGCAAGCTGCTTCGGTAAATAGCGTTTTTTTTTAATGTATTTTGTTATATTTGTTTTGAAGGTTTCTCATTCGTAAACAACCAACCAATCTCGTTTTTGCTTAATTTATTTTACATATTTATTTACTCTCTCAGTATTTATTTTTTTAATCCAAGAAATTATCAAATATTTGTTCTTAAGACCGAGTCATCCTCGAATATAAGTTCTTAGTTCTTACACAGAGAGAGAGGGGGAGTATTTCATGGGATCTCTTTGGCTTGTTTAAAGATTAAAACTTTAAAACAAAATTCGAAAAAAATAATTCGATCTTGATTGTTCTTCATCACCGTAAGTTCTGTTACATTTTTTTCGTTGTCTGAACTATATCTCGGATTGTTGTGATGGTTTTTTTGGTTCTTGCTTTAACTTTGACATAATCAAACCTTTAGTCTGAAATCGGATCTCTGCAGCTCTCAAAGACCTGGCGTTTTGATGGAAATGTGGGTCCAGAGAACATGGATTCTTCTCCATTTCAAGGTACGATATTTTCTCGACGTGAACGTCTCTCTCACTGTTCCTAGTTTCATGCGTTTTAGGGCGTTAACACGACGCCGTTTTATTCAATATCAACAAACGTTTATTTCTCTCGCATTGGATTCGTCGTCATTTTGTTTCTGGGTTGTTGAGATTCATTCAAACTTTTTTCATAATTTTTACCCAAAAAAAAGATTCAGAAAATGGTGATCCTCTCCTTTTTTTTATCTTGAGGAGATTTTTAGGGTTAAAAGATTGGTCTTTTATGGTTGGTGCAGATAATGAATGCATTGAGACTTGTAAACCAAACGTTTTGAATGTAAGTGAAAGGAGAGAATTGATCCACGCATTGTCTAACCAGCCACAAGAAGCTTCCGAGCTTTTGAATTCATGGAGCAGAAATGAGATAATGAAGATCATATGTGCTGAGATGGGTAAAGAGAGGAAGTACACTGGTCTGAACAAACCAAAACTCATTGAGAATCTACTCAATCTTGTGTCTCGTCCTCTTGGAGAGACTTCTTATTCTGACCGTAGAAACTCGAGGAAGAAGCAGAAGAAGATGATCGGTTACATCATTTGCTGTGAGAATTTAGCTTGTAGAGCTGCGCTTGGAAGCGATGATACTTTTTGCAGAAGGTGTTCTTGCTGCATTTGTCAAAAGTTTGATGATAATAAGGATCCGAGTTTATGGCTTACTTGTGAGGCTTGTGGATCGTCTTGTCATTTGGAATGTGGTTTGAAGCAAGATAGGTATGGGATTGGGAGTGATGATCTTGATTGTAGGTTTTATTGCGCGTATTGCGGCAAAGATAATGACTTGCTCGGGTAAGGTTCTTTCGATATTGAAATCTATGATGGATATACAAATGAAAAGAGAATGTTTGGATAATGTAATGTAATGTGTGTGTGTGTGTGTGTGTGTGTATGCGAGTGCTTACAGATGCTGGAGGAAACAAGTGAAGGTGGCGAAAGAGACACGCCGTGTGGATATACTTTGTTATCGTCTTTCTTTAGGACAAAAGCTGTTGAGAGGAACAAGGAAGTATCGGAATCTTTTGGAACTCATGGATGAGGCGGTGAAGAAGCTCGAAGGTGATGTGGGTCCGTTGTCGGGTTGGGCGATGAAGATGGCTCGAGGTATCGTCAATAGACTTTCGTCGGGATCACAAGTCCAGAAGCTGTGTTCTCAGGCAATGGAAGCTCTGGACAAAGTGGTCTCACCATCGGAATCTGTTTCAGGACAAGGTTAGTGTGTTCATACATTACTTTTGTTTTAAAGTCGAAGATGTTGACTTTAGTTCTCGTTAGTTGACAAGATGACCGTGATAGTAGAAGAGATTCAAGCAAGATCAGTCACTGTGAGATTAGAGTCCGAGGTGCCGTCTTCTTCTACACAAAACCAGATCACAGGTTTCAGGGTGTTTTGTCGAAAGTCGAAGGACGA